GGATTTCCATTTATTCATTCTTGCACTTTTCCCCTGCCCACCCCTCCCCGCCCAATACACTCTTCTCATTGAAGAGTAAAAGAAAAATTCTTTTATTGGTTTACAATCCTTCCCCCTCTCCCCCAGGTCTACTTCACTATGCAGCCTTCATTCGGGACTCCTGTCATGACAATAATACCTTATCACATATCACTTTTAGACAGTTTTCTCCCTCATCTGTTTCAATGCAGTATACATTATTTATCCCATATTTTTCAGTCTCTCCCAACCCTGATGTCTGTCCTGTTTTACAACAGTGACACAGTATGCAGTATTTGTTCTTTTGTGTTGAGATATTTCACTCAACATAAGGTCTTCCACGGTCACCCATTTAGAATAATATTGCATGAGTTTCTTGTTTTTCAATGCAGCATAGTATTCCATTGTGTGAATATACGACACCTTCCCTATCCATTCGTTTGTTGATGGGCACTTAGGTTGTTGCCAGCTGCTTGCTATTGTGAAAAAGGCTGCAATAAACATGGGTGTGTACATATCTGCTTGGGTGCAGCTCTGGTCTCTTTGGGGTATATTCCCAGTAGTGGATTTGCTGTATCGAATGGTATCTCTATTTGCAACTTTTTTTTTTCCTCATGCTTTGTTTCCCCAGGGAGTAATTTGGAGTAAGATTTTCGTGTGTGTGTGTGTATAAAATGGGTTTTTTCTTTAAATTTATTATTAATTTCAGTAAAAATTTACAGATTTGGATTTTCATTCATTCATTGTTGCACTTTTCTCCACTTTCCACCCTTCTCCTTAGTATACTACCTTCTTGGAAAAGTAAAAGAAAAATTCTTTCATTGTTTTACAAACTCTCCCCCATGTCGACTCCACCATGTAGCCTTCGGTGTAGACTCCTGTCATGACAAAAATACCTAATCACATATCCCTTTTAAACATTTTTCTACCTCATCTGTTTCAATGCAGTATTTTTTTAAATTTAATTTTATTTTATTTTTTATTTTTGTGTGAGTGTACCGTCAAATCAGATCTGACTGGTACAGGAGGAGACTGTCCCTCCTTTCCCGGCAGAGCATCTGGTGGATTTGAAATGTGCACCTCTGGGACTGTAGTTGCAGCTCCTTTCCACTAGGCCACCAGAGCTCCCCTCAATGCAGTATACATTATTGAACCCATCTTTCTCAGTATCTCCCCAACCCCAAGGACAGTCCTGTTTTACAACAGTGGCACCATGCACTATTTGTCCTTTTGTGAATGAGATACTTCACTCAGCATAATGTCCTCCAGCGTCACCCATTTTGAATTATATTGCATAAGTGGTTTTTTTTTTGGTCAATGCAGCAT